GTGCTACAGCTGCACAGCCTTCCTCGTTGATTGTGCCAAACTCTGTCATGTTTCAAGGTATTGGCACTGCTTATACCATTTGCCTGGGGGTGCTCTTTTCTCTGCTATTTGCGTAACAAATATACATCCTCGTTATTAAGAACTCAGACTATCCCAAATATCTAAAGTCCCCAGCCAGGCAATGGAGTTTCATTTAATTTGAATTTGCATGGTGTTTACTATTGATTATTTTTCTTTCTTACTTAAATGTTGATTTTTTTTATGCTCTTCAAAAATAAAAGCTTAACAAGATCAGGAACCTTTCTCGTCAAATTAATTGCTGTTTTCTCAGAACTTAGAACAGTGCAGGGAACATAACAGATGATCATAACTATTTACTGAATATGTAAGAAATGAATCAAAGGATACGCACATATCTGGACAAACTTTTTTTTGTGTGTAACAGGAAGCTACGCAACTACATCGCAGTTTAAGAATCGTAATGCATACTTACCCATATTTATCTGGCACCAAATCCACAAAGGTAACATTGGACATTTAAACATCAAGTTGGGGCCAAATTCAGATTTAACAAGCTAATCTCAACATGTGGTACCCTATAGGCTAATGACTGACATGTGTTTAAGAAGTCATCATCTCCACAGGTTAGTGAGGAGATCACAGACGGTTTTCTCCCTACCATGTCCTCACTGGCTCTCAGGTGTTTACTCTGTGTTCCAGAGGAAGAATTTCTCTTGTCTTTTTTATTGATTTTTTTTCAAAAAGAAAAGAATCATTTTTCTTCATTCCATTTTATTTGTATTTCTTGAAGCTAGTTAATTTTACATTAAATTTTAACCCGTTTCAAAATTAGGTGTAATTTATAAGCAAAACACAAAACTCAGTAATTTGAGTTTATGGACACAGCATTTATGCTAATTTGACATGACTGACTTTATTATTTTCTGTAATAACCAAGGAAACACACTAACTTATCATATATATGAGGCAATATGTATGTGTGTGTGTGTGTGTACATATTTGTGTGTGTGATAATTTTGTGTTAACTTGACTAGACTAGGTGCCCAGTTTTGGGCAAATACCATTCTAGATGTTTTTTAGATATGATTACATTTAAATCAATATATACAGTAGTTCACCCTCCAGAATGTGGATGGACTTCATCCAATCATTTAAAGGCCTTAAGAAAAATACTGAGAAATCCCAAGGAAGAAGGAATTCTGCCTTTATACTGCCTTAAGGCTCAGAGCTGGAATATTAACTCTTCTGTGCCTCCCCAGCCTCCAGACTATCTTGCAGCCTTACAGATTCAACACACACACACACACAGAATAAGAAATTATTTAACTTATTTAAGGAAATATCTATAAATTTAACTACGTTAGGTGATGACTTCCAAATTTAAATCTTTAAATTTGAATGAAACATTTAGCAAACAATTTTCATAACTATATATTAACATTTAAATAGATTAGATTTAAGATTTAATTTTTATTAAGAATATATTCTATTCAAGAAGTTGAATAAGCAAAATGCATCGGTTTTCTGTCTATTTAATTTCTTCAAATAGAATTGAGTATTCATTCAGATTTTAAAACATAAAATAATCCATTTATTATCTATATTTATATTTAATTTTTAATTTTAATTCTGTCATATTATTATTTTTAAAATAATAGAAGAAAGTTATCTGAGTTCTGATAAATGTGTTGTCTAAAGTTGTGAGAAGCTGGCATAATTATGAGTATAGTGTGTTATTGATATTTGGGAAATCTAATAAGGTTCTTCCCAAGGTTTGAGGAGAGAGAAATGAACCACCTTCTGAGCAGTAAGTATACATGTGTTATGCAATAGATTGACATGGAGTTACAAAATCACTTGAAAGATGTCTTCCAACGCTGTCAGGTCCGGCTGTAATCTCACAAAAGCAATAGTAAGTAGCATGTCTGGAGAATGGTTGAGTGAATTAAAAGTGGAGCTCCTTGAGAAGGAAGCTGAAAAGGAGCCATGGAGACAATCAGATTTGAAGAAGGGGCAAATTCTAACATAAAAACTCCACAGGTGCAATCCCAGTGTTAAATATAGCACCGCTGTGCACATGGAAGACTGGACATTCTTTGTATAATAAAGCAGGCAAATCACATAAAAACTCAATCTCTAATTGTGTGTTGAGTTCTTAACTTGCAGATACTGTGCTAAGAACATCACATATAATATTGCATTAATTCTCAACTCAACCCGACAAGATCAATAGTTTTATCTCTATTTCATGAATGAGAAAATTTAATTCACTAGAAGTTGCAAAGCTAATGAGTAACCAAGTAAGAGTTTTCATCCAGTTGTGTCGGAGCTCACAGCCCATACTCAACTGCCATGCCAAACTAATGTCTCCCTTATTCAGATTCTAAATTCAACAAGGAAAGTCAGGATTATAATTCAGATTTATATTTTCTTGCGTGATAGAAAATGTCTCTCTCCATATTCTAATACCCTTCTATTTCTTGTTATAAAATAATTAGTTGGCATACATTTGTAACTTAACCTTCAATTATATTTGATTTCTGAGTAACTTTCCAAAATAGATGGAATCTACAACCAAAGGATAGACAACTTCTCTTTCTTCAGGAATGTCAGCATCATAAATTTAGTACTGTTGCTTTGGTTATCCACAGTATATGATGAACTTGGTTAAAATGTGTATGATCTGGAAAGTAGGATCTACCATGGGATGCTCCAAAATCAGTATCTGAGAACATCAGGGGGCTGTCAAACCTTCCAAGACAATGGTACACTCAAAGCTCTCTATAAATGAAAGCCAATTTATGCCTGAGGGATAATTTAACAATGTATGTTTTTTCTAGTTTATTCAAAGAATAAGATGATTTCTTTAGCATTAATTTCAAGAAAGACTTTGTTATCTTTTAGATAAAACCCATTCTGGGAACAGTTTTTGCAAAGTGGTTATTATAATTTTTCACTTTAAAAACCTTATTGCATAGGGATAAAAGTAAAATATCACTTGGGGTGGAGTGTAGCAAAAATATTTAAATTTGACTAGATTATCTCTTCAAAAGATACATAGTCACCAGTGAAATTTCTGTAAAACTCAACAAGTGTACATGATTTTTATTAAAATTTTATTAGCCTCTTGACAACTTGGGGTACTCATGAGGAACAATGAACACTTTATATGCTACCATTTAAGGCAAGAACCTGGCAGAAGTCAACGATCCTGGGTCTCATGAAATGAACATTTATGCTAGAATTGCTAAAGTAGCTTAATGTGTTCAATGTTTAACTTCCTTCGTTTCTTGCCTCTTTCTTTCCTTTTTCCCTAGACAACATGCTATTGTTTTAAGGCAACTATTGAAGTGACTTAATGCAGTTATTTTATTTCATTTTCAACATGTTAACTCAGTATTTGTCAAGCACTTCCAAAGGACAGGTTTGGTGTTACGATCTGAGAATTCAGTGGGAGAAAGGGAAGTTGTGGTTTTTCCTGTCCTCACAAAACGTACTCTCTAGTCAGTTATAATGCAGAAAACCTTACACATTTGTCCTTTTGTGACTTATTTATCTCTGGGGCTGCTGTAACATGGAAGTTTCTTCACATTTAGGTTTCTGTTTTCTCAAACACTGAGTAAAATTTATTATTAATAATTATAAAACAATTTTAGTCAAAATTAAATTGGTCATTTCTAAATAGAAATACCATGGTATAAATATCTCCTTGGTTTACAAGAGCTATTTTAAGCCAAATAAAATTGTAATTGTAACAACAATCCAAAAGAGTAAAGACTGAAATAATTTCTTAATGATTTCTTTAAAATTTGAATTATTAACATCTGCAATTTATGTTGAGACTATAAACACAGTTATCGCCAGTAATATTGTGTTTCCTAAATTCTGTTAATAATAAAAATTTACATAATTATTTCTTGAATGTTAAGTTTTAAATAAAAACACCCATTAGAGATGGGAATATTATACAGCATAACAATACATTAAACGTGTATACGCATGTACCAATATTGATTAGCATATGCGTTTTATGCATTCGACATTTACTGATTTTTAGGCAGAATGAGAGACATTGCTCATAGTAGTCCCCATGGCAATATTTTGTATCATTCTGATTGATTTTTAAAGTACAGTTAACTCTTTGTTTAAGAAATAGTCAGTCATTTTATATCATATACTAAAGTAATTACAAGTAATTCAAAACACATTATTCCTGTAATACATCAATAATTAATCAAATATTTTAAGTTAATTATAATCTTAAGCGTTAAATAGTACTGATGAATCCTATTGAGCCATAAATCACCTAAATAATCAAATAAGATTGATAGGATGTTAAGGTAAGGGTGTTTGACATTTGAAACACTCTGACATTTTAAAAAATAAATTATCATATCTGATAAGTTATATGAAAAGTTAACAATACCCAAAGGAAATACTGTCTTTAGAGCATCATTGAGGGGTGACAAACTAGTGAACATTAACATGACAATAAAAGACACTGAAAAAAACTGGTTTAAATATCTCCAGATATGCAGTTAACGTCCTTTATAACGTCCTTTATAAACAAAGTGTAAAAACTATACCATTTCTTTTGCAATTGACATTTTATAGCACTGTGTATACAGGTGAACAAGGAGGAGGAATGTTAAAATCTCAAGCAATCATAAGTACTTTATGATTAAATACTCTCTGGCAATCCCCACATCCTATTCCTCAGAGGACATGGAAATTATGTTCTTTGTTTGCAGATCCCAAGAATACAAAGCAATTCTTTTTTCTTGGTTCAAATAAAAAAAATATCCTGAAGTATATGACAAAGAAGATTTTCTAAAAAGGTTTTGTAGAGAACAAGTTAAAAAAAATGATTAAAGACACATTTATGATAGCTAATAGAAGTCTTTGTGGTTGGATTCTGTTAAGCAATTGTTATCTTGTAATAGAAAAGTAATTTCTAGGTGGAATCAAGCACAACTTACCCCTGATTTTCAACCATTAGCCAAGGAAGCTTGTAACCCTGGGAAGCTCCTGGTTACTGTTAATGTCTCCACATGCCTGGGATGTATCACTTTGCTTCTCAGCACTCCTATCAAATAAGGCTTCCTTTATTTGTGGCTTCTGAAACAAAGTACTTCAAGCCCTAACCTGCTGCAGGAAAGGTAAACTCATTAAAGCCATGTGAGGACTGACATAAGGCTTGGCCTTTATTTAGCTAATCTGGAGATGAATACAGAAAGCCACCATCTGGAGCTTTGTATAAATCCATAAGCAAAAATACTTCTCTATAATTGAATTATTTCCAGTATCATTTGTAACTCACTATTTTCATTGCTAACTTCATATGTCTCAGCCTGAATGCTTTCTTGTGTTTTCAGGAATTAATACAAATTGAATTTTAAAAAAATTCAGATACAGACAGACAGGGAAAGAAAAAGGCCTTGTGTTACTAGGGAAACCTGATGCTGAAGGTTAGTGACAGCCTCAAATGCTGCTGTCAGGATAAGAGAATAGAAAGAGGGCCTGCTGATGTGAAGAATGAATTTAGAATGTTACTATTGATTCCACAACAATCTTTATAAAAGAAGTAATGCAGACTGTCTTTTTCTAAAGAAGAATTGCGGAACTATAATAAAGAAGGCCTCAAGGAATTTATATCATTGGAAAGTAGAGTAAATGAAATCTTACCTCCATCTGTGAGTTTATAGAGAGAAGAGAAATTATCAGATACTTCAGAATTTTATCAAATTAAGATTCTATTAGCATATCTGAACTTGTAGTTCTATTTGAACTGTTGCTTTACTTTTATCTTTATATTTAAAATTATCGAATTAAGCATATCTCATTTGTATTACACTTGATTTTACAGTATGTGAAATATGCATTTCAGTAATCTTCTCATGAAAGAAATACTATTTTAGAATAGTAAAACTGCACTGTAGACAAAAGTTTCTATTTTTTTGTGATGAATAACATTATAAATATATATGCATGCTTGTTTTTATGTAACATATACTTTATTATGTGTAGGTTATATATTATATATTTGCAAGTCATTAATAAAATAAGATGCTTTTATAATTTTGTGATTCGAAGTGAGGAAATGTGAGACATTGACTCAAGAAATTACATCCTCGGGGTTATACGGGGGCCTCCCTGGACACTGAGCCACCTATAAGTGCATCATAATGTTATAATGGACATATCCACTAATACCTAGAAAAAAATGTCTTGTGTTATATCTTTTTTTTATAAGACTCATGGAAAATTAGTTCAAATTCCTTTGTTAAAGAGGTAGACCTTAGACTCATCTAATTTACTTCTTTCCTTTTCTCTTCACTTCCCTGTGTCTGCCTCTTTCTCCCTCTCTCTCCTCCTTCCATTCCTTTGTTTTTCCTTTTAAATTACTGGGGAAGTCTTCTCTGATAAGGTAACCTGTGGTCAAAATAAACAAAAATATGGAAGAGATTGAACTATGCAAACATCTAGGTGGAGATATCTAGGTAGAAATATCTAGGTGATGAGAGTACAATTACATTACAGTGGGCTAGAGCAGAACAGAGTAGAAACAGCAGCTAGGAGAGAGACAGGAGACCATGCTAATGAGGTTCATGGTGAGTCGGACCAGTATGCCTCTACTGGTCATTTTATGGACTTTGGCTTCTTCTCTAAATATGATGCAAAAGTCCTGGAAATTTGAAAGAGAAGAAATGCATGACTTGAACTGTGTATTAAGCGATCATTCTGTTGTAAGGTGACTGGAGTGACTTTGGGGTGAGTGGGAAGAAGTGAAGGCAGAAGGGAAGCTCTTGTATTACTTTAGGTGAAAGCTAAAAGTGTCTTGGATCAATTAGTGGAGAGGATTAAAAATATACTCTAAATATAATTTAATATTGAATTGACAAATGAGCTGATAGATTTATTATGGGGCATAAGAGAAATATATCCCAAAGCTAACCACTTCATATCACTTCTGCCATGATCAACCAGTCAGAACTATCTCCATTGATCACAAAAGTTAACACCAAGCCTTTTAATAGACCTACTTTGTACTGCTCTTGCCCATCACCCTGTCTCATGTTTGTTCTCAGCTGAGTCGCCTGACTGATCCTTTTATAACGTAAGACATATCATGTCAACCATTTCACCAAACCCTACAGTGCTTCTCATTTCACTTGGAGTGAAAAGCCATAGTTATGTTAAGAATCTTTCTGTTACTTCTTTGGTTTTCTTTTCTTGATGACCTTGTTTCAGAGACATTGGTTTCCTAGCTGTTACTCAAAGATGCCAAGCATATTATCTTCTTAATTTCCTTATTTCTTTGTCCCTTTTCTTAGAACACTCTTCTTTGAGAATTAATTCCCTTAGGTGAACAGCCTCACTGCCAAGTGTTTGAGTAAGTCTGACCTTCTCAGGGAAGCCCATCTCAAGCTTCCCATTTAATACCACAACACCTCCTCTTCCAATGTGCCTCACTCTGCTCCATTCCCCCCCCAATATTTGTCACATTTGAGACCCTATAGTATCTGCTTAGTGTACTTGTATTACTCATAGTCTACATTCTCCTTCTGGACTGTAGTTATTAAGAAGGTAAGGACGTTTGCTTTTTCTGCTGTCGTACAACTGCAGAGCACTGTGTTTGGCACATAGCAGGTGCTCGATAGATTTCTCTGGATAAGTAAATTAAAGGATGATGGCTGAAAGTTTTATAAAATAAAATAATAGAAAAGTTGAGCTTTATTACTGGTCATAAAAGCAGGTTTGGGGTACGGCACAGAAGGGAATCGAGCATGAAATCTTGAAACGTTAAGTTTGAGAGGACTATTAAACATGTACGTAAGGAAGCTTCAGATCCATCTCTAGAGTCAAAAAAGAAATCCAACCCAGATATACAAGTTCAGGAGTTATTAGCATGTAGATTGTCCATAAGACTATGGAACTAGCTAAAATCTTTACTTATGGATCACTGCAGCATTATGAGATATTGGGAATGAAAAGGAATTCAGAAAATGAAAGTGCAGAGGAATTATAAGTGAGGTGAGAGAAAAAACAAGAGTCAAGTCTCAGAAGGTAGGTGAAAGAAGCATTTTAAGAAGGAAGGAGTGAGAAGTTGTCATAGGGACTCCACACAGATATTGAGATCAATGAACTACAGCCCCCTTTGAACTATCCTAACTTTATATATAGGTGAGGAATCACATTCTGGCACAATAGTCCAAATGTGCAAATCTAATGGGCTGCTCTGTGCAGGCATCTAATGGGGCTATCTCTTCTTTGTGCCCCACTTGCCCGTGTGGTAAGGAAGACATCTCTCAAATTCTTCATGAGAGTAAGACCACAGGCTCTTTCTATCCTGTTTCCTACATTTATAAAATGAAGCGATTTTCTTTCTCAACTCTCTAAGTCTGAAAGCAAGGTAAAAAAAATAAAAAATACCCTTCCTCAACCATAACTCTTTCCAAATGCTATCTGTGTTAATCTATGTTGTTTGTAATTTAACATTTTTAGCTCAATAGTACAAAAATAAAATTTTAAAAATTGCCATTTAGTAATTTAGTTTCCCCTGTGATAGTTCTAGACATTCCATGTGAGACAAATCAGAACCAGGCAAAGTCACAGAATTAGGCTTTGTTGCTATAATATTTGGGATAATTACACCCTTTGCAAGCTTCCTTTGAAATCTCACCACTGCATTCCTACTTCTTTTTTGTTTGTCCAAAACGTCATATATATTCGATTTTATTTCACTGTCTTCAGAATGTACATGCTGTGTGAATTTCCCACAGGCACATATTAAATTTTGATTTTCCCCTGATAATCTGCTGTATTTCATTTGAATTATTTGCCCAGCTACAATAATTTAGACGGTAGAAGAAAAAGATTGTTTGTTTTTTTTAAGCACCCCTCCAGTCCTGAATATCTGCAGTTATCGCTTGAACAAAAGCAAAAGCATGGGCCTGGGGACACACACACACACACACACATACACACACACACAAAATGCAACTCCACCTACAACAAAAATCAGCCTGTTAAAACATCAGGGATCCCACTTATTTCTTAGGCATCTCAAACTTCACCATTCTAGGATGGAACCATTGCCTAAACATTCAAACAAGTTTCTCCAAAATAAGGGATACTTTTGATCTCAGAAAAGAATGTCCTCAGAAGAAATAAAAATACACAGAATAAACAATAAAAACTAAAATAATAGATCTTCCCTCACTTAAGGACTTAAAAACATTTTAGTACATATAGTTCAATTCTCGGCTAGAGAAATGCATTGCAGAGTTATAATGTTTGCTCATAAAACTGTATTCTCTGCAACTTTCCTAGTAGCAATTTTAATTCCTCTATCCCTGGAAATCTCCCCTTTGACACTTAATCTCTTGAGTTAGTTATCTCTGTCCCCTCTTTTTAAAAGTGGAAGGACTAGTGCTTCGTTTTCTCACTATCTGTTCACTTTTTTAATCTCTTTCGATCTCCCTTACGCTTCCACAATCCTCCTGAAATAACTTTCTTAATGATGACCAGTAACCTCCTTGTGCCTACTTCTAAAGACCTCAAATTCTCTTTTTCTTTGACATCTGGGATTAAGTTTTAGTTCTAGCCCTGGCCGGTTTGGCTCAGCAGTTAGAGAGTTGGCCTGTGTTCTAGAGAGTCCGGGGTTTGGTTCCTGCTAAGGGCACGTACCTCGGTTGCAGTTTGTCCCCGGCCCTGGTTGGGTCGTGTGGGTGGCAACCACTCGATGTGTCCCTTTCATGTTGATGTTTCTCTCTGTCTCTCTCTCTCCCTCCCACTCTGTCTGAACAAAATATCGAAAAAAGTCCTCGGGTGAGAATAAAAAAAAAAAAAAAAGTTTTAGTTGTACATTTTACTAGTTGCATGACTTTGGTAAACCTATTAAATTTTTATAAATCTCAGATTTTTACACCTCAGGTGTGTTGTAAAAAAATTCTGAAACATATCTGAAAAATACAATAAAATGCCAGTAATTATGATTTTCCTTTCTGACTTAGTCCATCCTGCCCTCCTCCTCCTATTTAAATCTTTTGATTCTGGCAGCCTCCTGGAGAATCTCTGTTCTCTTGGCTATGGGACACTACACTCT